AATACGTGTTTGAGTTTCATACAAGTGCAAATCACATATGTTCTAATAAATTATATTCAGTAGCGATTTTAATTGAATATTTTGATTATTTATTTATTTTTTTCAAATTAAAACTGAACTTTATTGACTGTGTCCTTTTCCAGACTTTTTATTAATTTATTGTAATTAATTATTTGCATGCAATTAAAAACTAATTTTAAACGATGCCAAAGAAGGATAACTTCTCACGCGCCTACATAAGTACACGCACCCATTTTTTTACTGTAGCTTTCAAAGTATGTATATGAGTATAGCAACTACTAAAAAAACACTACCGGGTCAATCAATATCTGTGAACTATTTATTTTATCATTTTAATTAATTATGCAAAAGATTTCATTAAGATATCAATTTTATCGAGGCGTAAGTAACTCAGTAACTGCATGTCTGATATAACATCGGCCAAGTACGAGAGTTCATGTTTGGAGAAACCCATTTTTTAAAGCTTTTATTTATTACTAGGGGCCCGCCCTCGCTTCACTTCGGTGTAAAGCTGAAGTGTAGACTACAGTTTTTGTTCTCAGGCTTGTATTATACACAATGACATTCATCTATGATTCTTCTTATACCTGCATGCAAAGTCTCAGCCCGATCGGTTTAAAATTGACAAAGTTTCATACAAACTTTCATTCCCTATTTTATCCCCTTGGGGGTAGAATTGATCAAAATCCTTTCTTAGCGGATGGATGCCTACGTCATAACATCTATCTGAATGCCAAATTTCAGCCCGATCCGTCCAGTGGTTTGGGCTGTGCGTTGATAGATCACTATGTCAGACTGTCACCTTTGAGTTTTATATATATAGACTAGCTGACGCCGCGAGCTTTGTACCTGTAATTTTTGTTGTGCATTAAGTATTCTTGGAATTCCTGAACGACTGGTTTACGGTTTAATGGTTTAACTATTTATACAATATATTGAAGATCTCTCTCAGTCTTCTGTCTCATTAAATCAATAAGTTTTCATATTACGAGGTTTATAAAAACCTTTTATCTTTTCTTGTATAAAATGATATAAAAGTATAATACTTGTCCTGACAATAATGATCACAATAAAAAAGAGGATTATCCAATTTGGTGCAATCTTTCGAAAGTATGTGTGAACAAACATTTCGATGATTTAATTTTATTAATAGATTTGTCGTGACACCACCACCACAACAAACACGTATTCCGTGTAAATATCACTTGACCTCCTATTTCTGTTTTAAGAGATAAAGCCCTGTAATGGAGAGACAGCGAAGTCATATTTGTAGGTAACATGACAACTTTAAAGTATAAATTTCCCTTCCGCGTGTAGTCAATGTACAAAATGAATTTGTTTGAATTAATTTTTTGTATGGTTATAATAAGTTTTTTTTTCACTTTGATATTAAATTCATGCGTACGTGACAAATAATGTAAATCTAATATATAAAATTCTCGTGTCGCGGTGTTTGTGGTTAAAATCCTCCGAAACGGCTTTCCCGATTCTCATGAAATTTTGTGTACTTATTGGGTAGGTCTGAGAATCGGACAACATCTATTTTTCATCCCCCTAAATGTTAAGGGTAATCCACCCCTATTTGTTTTTTTCAATTTAAGATATTTTTTTATATTTTTTATGATACAGCATTAGTAAATACATATAACCCTGAATTTTTAACCTTCTACCACCAACCCTTATTTTTTTATGGCGGTACGAAATTCGCTGGGACAGCTAGTAATTTATATATTTATTTGTGATTGTGTTGATAGAACCATGGTTCTACTAACTTAATATGCTCCTAAGTTAAGCAACGTAAAACCAACTCATGGATGGATTGGTCTCAGTGCTGCTCTGCGCTGTTTTTAATAATAAATTGTAATTTCACATTCCATCTAAGAGCAAATGGCCCTTGAAAACAAAACACTGAACAATAGGAGGACTGAAGAATGAGTCAGCTGTTTCTCATCGCTCCGTAAATCGTAAACGTGCTCAGACTGATTGAATGTTTTCACACGTGCCGATGCCGCATTATGACCGGGTCATCGTATACAATCGTCACCGAGGACTGTGTGATAAGACACTTAAACCCGCGGATTATTTGTCGGGAGAAGTGTGACGTTATGTAACGGATTAACCGCACCGTCCGCCCAGGGGGCTAATCGCCTAACGGAAATGCTTTGGAAAACGCTAACGCTTACGATTTTATTTTGTTATTTCTAGCCGCCTGAGGTATTCAAATGCCTCGCGCTCTTTCTTTTTCTTTTGCATTGGTAATAACAATATTAAAAAAAATGAGCTTGAGGTATTCGAAAACCTCAGGCGGCTAGAAATAACAATATAAAATCGTAAGCGTTAGCGTTTCCCAAAGCATTTCCGTTAGGCGATTGGCCCCCAGGATGTTGGTCTTCGCCTTGGATAAAAGACTGACTGTATCTGTAAGGACGATTCTTTGCCGTAAGGTTACCCTAGCACGCTACCTGTATGGAGCTCAGGGGAACTGTAGCACCTTCGCAAATTGTCTCCAATTACATTTAACATCAGGATTGACCAGTAAAATTCCGGCCTTAAAAACACACTCACCATGATCGAATTTGGTGCACCAAGAGATTGGTAGCAGATTACTGAAATTCGCAATAGAAGTTAAGACGCGCCGTGTGCGGTAGTTAAGGTATTTGAAAGGGTGAAACAGGGAAAGTGAGTGACGGGTACTGTCAGTCGTCCCGCGCAAACGTTCACAGCTTTAAGGTTGTATTATACTGAAGCGGACCGGGAAATATAGCCGTATTATATACATACGATACATTACCTACGATACAAATAAATAAATAAATGATTTCTAAACTTGGTTTATTTGACATGTCATCACACAAACTATTAACACGTCAATAATTTTGTTGCAAAGTTGTGCAAAACTACATGAAGCTGAAATTAGCAGACATTGACGCAAAACATTGACTGGCAACTGTTTTGATTTTAGGGTTTCCGTACCTCAAAAGGAAAATCTCTCTCTTATCCCTTATCGGTCATTCTCACGGCTAGGTGTTCTTCGTATAACTTCTGCCACATTTTTTTTTAATAATTTATACCAAACTTAAAACTCGAAAACACGTAAATCTTTATAATTTTGTACAATTGGCTATTTATAACTATTTAGTTTTGGCATAAATCCGAAGAGATATACATTTGGACATGACGAAAATTAGATACGCTGTGACGAACTTTAAAGAATTACTCAGTAAAACATGAATTTCTGTTTTAATAAGACATACATAGAGATAACCAACATAAAAATCAACCAACATAAAAATCATTGTTATACTGTAAACAACCAAAATGGAAAACTAACTGCTAGTTGTGCGAAATAACAGCAAAAATATCCTCAGTACTTTGATCATACAACAAATAGCTCAGGGGCGATAATCAATTGATTCATTGGTATATTGCAACAGAATAAAATAGTAACAAACAATAGTCAAAAGGCATTTTAGATTTTTCTACACGTTTTAGCGGGCCAGAATCGGGTGACGGAAATGAGGAACACGAGCTTAATTTTTAATCATAAAAAATAATAATAATATCGTATCGAAAAGGTTACTCATATTGAATTACTTTTTGGATAAATTCAATGTTTCATTTGTACATAATCATCATTTAACAGATAAAAATTTAATAATTTTAGATAAAACGGTAATTAGAGAAATTGTAAACCATGTAAACTGAAATTACTAACATAGGTTATTTAGTGCGACAGTGAAACATGTGACATAGACAGCTTCGGTTACCACTTCAGCACTGCTGATGTATTCCGATTCTGTAGAAACACATTTTGACATTTTGTGTTGACCGCGGCAGTGGGAATCGGACCTTAGTATTTTATTATTCGGCATAAATAATAGTACTCACCACTTTTGCCCTCTAACAATTGCCGCATGTTCTCAAAGATCATGCAAGCGTCTCGTTTTTCTTTGAAAATTTTTTATAGTTTTTTTACACATTTTACAAGTTTGATATGACCGAGAAAAATCCAAACACAGAACCGACGGAATGATTTACGGAATCATTATTACTAAATACTAAACCTATCTAAATTTTACAAAGCAGAAACTCAGATTTATTAAAAAGCTATCTAACAAAGCAAGTTTCGAGTATATTAGTAATTTTTTAAGATATTTGATACTTAAGTAAAAAATCGATCATTTTTCAAAGACAAAATCTGTCAAGAAAATTTTCGATAGTTATGTTTACGGGCTAGTAACACTTTAGCTTAGGAACTGAAGATAATACATTTATAAAAATCACATGTCACATCTATTAAGGTATTCTATTAACAGCGCCAAAAATAATGACTTAATTACCAACAGCGCCTTAAATCTCGAATTATCTATCTCTCGGGTTAATCAAGTGGTGATTTATTTAGAAGTTTATCTTGCTCTTATAAGTAATAGGTATATAATCTTGTTTATTTTCACGTGTCGTTAAGAGTTATTTTTATATAAATGCCTCGTTAAGTAGATATGACAGTTTAAATAATATTAGCTTATTAATAGTAGACTCAACTAAACTAATAAACTAACTCTAACTATCGTGGATTTTAATCCTTAATTTTATAAATAAAGATATTTTTATAACTACGCTGCAATAAGCGTTTTATGCATTATCTGATTCTCAAATATCCTCCTTATTTTAAAAACTTATTCGACACTCTTCTGATCTGTTTATTCATCTAAAATATGAAATAAAGACAAGACACTCCATAATGTATACATTCTAAACAATAATTTCAGCAGTCAAAATTCGAGAGAATTCTGTAACTCCTTCTATATAATTCGTATTTTCGCACAACACACCAGAATACTCATTTGACAACTTACTCCTCGTTCAAATTATGTATTAAAATATTCCACATAAATATTGAGACAAAAACTTCACGTCACAACACATGATTGGGCACTTTGGGTGGTCATTGTGGGTGCTAAGGGCGGGGTTCCACTCACCGCGCGCGACGACAGCGAGTGCGGCGAGCAGAGCGGCCGACGTGAATACTGTCATGTTGCGGTCAGACGTCTGAATGACGGTTCGCAACTGATGCGACGCGCGGCCAACACTGCTTATATATTCGCGAATGCGTGCGCGGTGCCACTGCAAGCGGTGATCGATATATTTGCATATACAGACTTTATTAATTATCTAAATTTACTTATTTTGAAATTTACTCAAAGAGTTAACAACAGCGATATACGTTCACACAAAAACAATCATGCGCACACAAAGACTTACTAATAAACACACACATATGCTCAAGCTCAAACATACATGCATACATACATACACGTATTCATGCATAGGCAAACTTATATCTAAGTTCTAAATAGAATAAAAAAAAATTGTTTAAGTTTGTGAAATTTACATAAAAAATGGATGTGTAATGGAGGAGCGGAGTCGCCTGGCACAAGCATTGATTTGCTTAAAAGGGGATTCCTGCCACTAACTATTGTAAACCAAATCATTTATGAATAAATTATTATTATTATACAAAAGCATGAAGAAAATCGGTTTGGCAATTTAAGAAAAAGTTTATTATAAGATAACGTTAAGCTATGAATAGTAATGAAAAACATAATTCAAAGAAATGTATCTATTATATCAATTAGTGCCTCTATGTATAAATTGGTCGAAACAATACTATAACTTAAATATAATTTTGGGCATCGTTTATATTTGCCAATTTTGATATATTGCCCAAAAAGCTATTCTATTAAATAAATCTATCACATAAGTATTTTTATTGTTATATTATTCATTATATAACTCGGATTATATTGAGCTCTTTGAACAATCGGCGATTTGAATTTTTACATTGCTCCATGTTATATCCTATGCCTGAAAATTTGGTTCGTTCCTAAATTGTTTTCCGGAACCAAGTGATAGGTTAGAATTCATAGTCCGTAAATAAGAATTATTATAACGGTTGATTACAGTCTGACATTATCTGGTCTTAATAGAAAATAATTTTCTTTCCTTTTTTTGGATAAACAACTTATCCATCATATTAACTAAACTATAGCTACAGTAAGTGTTTTGGCAAGATATTATTATATAAAAAACATTCGAAAACTAACGAGAGCATGTGAATTGAAATCAAAATATTCTATTAACAAGTTTAATCTTAAGATACTCTTAGCCTAATATAATATAAGCCTTAGCCTAAAATAATCCTAGTTGAAGCGCCGGAAACTTCACTAAAACATTTATATATTTATTTTGCGGACCTACGCAGAGATGGTGATGATCTCGTCGATAGGAGAATATGCGGCCGAGTTCAAGACTGAACAGATGCCAACATATTTATTACTGGTATTTTCGTGAATAAGCGATATGCGTGATATTCGTGATAGTGATGAAAAGAAACTGCAGAAAAGTTTCAGTTACCCAATTAATATGGCGAACATATAATATCAAAAACAGAATAACGAGTTGCGTCATCAGTAGGAGAGTCGTTTGCGCTTTCACTTATTGTCAATTTTTTCCAGTTCATAGCCCTTTGATCACACAATTTACTAATTCCTATCTTCTGTTAATTTATAATACCACAGGAGCTCTCTTTCTTAGAACTAACTATGTTCAAGCTTACAACACAACCAATACTACCAAATGTGGCGCCGTTGAGGTGTCGATATAAGTGATGTTAGTTACTTTAATACACTTTTTACTGTCAAAATGCACCTTCAATGATCTGAATAAAGATATTATATTAGGTATGTGTGTCTTCATTATACTCTTGTAAACCGCTAGCAAATCAACACAGCACAACTCACCGCTTGCACTAGACCCACACCTCGTACAAGTTCACTCAGAAAATGTTGAGTATTGTCATGATATGTTATTAAAGATACATCTTTCAAAGTAATTGATAAATAAAAAAAGTGTATTTTAACCTCATTTCATATTATAATTAATTTTCCATGCGTTCGACACATTCACAATTACATAAAAAGACAGCGAATTTCGGCCAGTAGGCGGCAACCACAAGTAACAATTTATTTGATGTTGTTTTTTTCGATAATCAATTATGATTTAGTGGGAGTATGTTTATGCAAATCACAGCAAATCACTTAATCCCACCTGATGTTGAGTGTGATAAGACCAGTCGCCAAATATTTGATACAGAATATGTTTGAAATGTTGTTTCATCACCCGCTTATTAATGACCACAGCTGGGGCACAGACCTTCCTTAAGAATGGAGAATGATCAATGTTTGTTTAGGTTCTTTTAATTAATTGATTGTATTAGTGAAGTTAATTAATTATGAGGATTTTTTTTATATATCACTAGTCTGGCCGTAAATACTGTTACATAAAATCATTTCTTTTTCTCAACTTTTTAATTTTGAACACGTATATTATTTTAAAAACTTCTTTAGATTTTGCGGCGCCATATCACATAGTTTTTTCGTATTTATTATCAAATTATAATATTAATTGGAATGGGTTGTTAAAGGAAATAGGCTTGCAGTGATCGCCTTGCACAAGTGTTCAAGCCGTCCGTCATATTCCAGACACTTCAAAAGCTTGGTATCCGCCGAATGTTCGTATATCGTACTATCAACAGATACAACAACACTTCGTCTGTCGAAGACGAGATAAGATAGGGGCGGCCGCGTACTGTTAGAACTACAAAGGCTGTTAATGCTGTTAAAGCCAGAATTCGCCGAAACCCCAGTAGGAAGCAAAATATCTTATCGCGAGAAATGAAGATTCCCGCTAGGACTCTGTCGCGTATTATTAAACAAGACCTTAAGCTCGGTGCTTATCGTATATATCGATATACAGGACATGCCCCAAAGGGATGATGACTATTTTTTTTTATGATTTTATTTAATTTTTAAGCATTTAACTGCTAGATGTTTAAATCTAAAGAAAAGTTTACTAGAAAAAAATTCACGCGGTGGCAGCGGACGGGACTCGAACCCGCACCCTTCGCAATCCGGGCGAATGCACTGACCGTTATGCTACCACGGCCCTATTAGCCGCGTCGAAATTTTCCTAGCCTTAAGCTGCAAGGCAGCGCCATCTCTTCGCATTGTAGGTAACCCACAATGTCAAATGAATACTTTTTCTTTTTCAAGTGTATTAAACGTTTGAAAGAAGAAATAGCAATTACAGTAATGATTTTATTTTATTTTTTAAGCATTTAACTGCTAGATGTTTAAATCTAAAGAAAGGTTTACTAGAAAAAAATCCACGCGGACCAGGCAGCGGACGGGACTCGAACCCGCACCCTTCGCAATCCGGGCGAATGCACTGACCGTTATGCTACCACGGCCCTATTAGCCGCGTCGTAATTTTCCTAGCCTTAAGCTGCAAGGCAGCGCCATCTCTTCGCATTGTAGGTCTTAGTATTTTTTTTCTTCGTTTATCAGGTAGATTATCAAAAAGTATTGGACACGTATTTTTTCTTTTTTCACAAAATATAAACATTGCAGAGATATTTTGATTGGAAAAGTCGCATGACGTCACGTTTGAGTACACTTTTAAGTGAAAATTACTAAAAAGTGACGTCACGAGCCCCTACTCCCAAACTTTGACGCGCTATAATTTTGTCATTTTTTGGTTGCTTGTCCAAAGAAAAAATACGTGTAAGGAGGGTGTCCCAAGATTCTGACTGGTGTGGAGTCCAGGATGTCCTTCGTTTTGATCGCAGAGTGCGCGGGCGCGTTGTCGTGGTAAAGAAGGAGCCCGCTGAGCCCGGTGTTAGGTCGCTTGTTGCTCATTGCAGAAAAAACTTCTGGCAGGCATTTTGTGCTATACCATTCGGCGTTGATGCTGCTTTGGTCTCGAAGTGGAATTGAAATTAGGTACCCCGTCAAAGTGAAGAAACTAGCGATCAAAATTTTCCCTGTGCTCCTCAATCGCTTCACTTTCGTAGGCGTTGGTTCATTTTGAAACAGCCAAACTGTCGACTGATGCTTTGTTCTTGGATCGTATTGATAAATCCAGGATTCGTCACCTGTCACAATATCGTAAACGCGCCATGACGAGCCTGCATCAAATTTTTGTATCATATCACTGCACCAATCCACACAGGCCTGCTTCTGAGCTTCGTTGAGGTTGTGCGGCACCCAGCGGGAAACTATCCTCCTTACGCAAAGGTGCTCGTGCAAAATCTTGTGAACACTGCCTGAACCAATCTGCAGAGTAAGCTGAATCTCTCCGTACGTAATTCGTCTGTTTTCTTTAATTAAAATTTTTACTGCCAGCACACTTTCTTCGGTGACAACCGTCGTAGGACGACCACTCCTTTGTTGATCCCCCAAAGAAAAACGACCGCATTTGAACTCGTTACACCAGCGGTAAATGGTTGCTTTTGAAGGTCCTTCATCCATAAAAGCAGTTCGAAATCGAATCAGGTTTTCAAGCCACATTTATAATCGTAAAAAATCATAGCACGAAAATGTTCTCGATGCAGATTCTTCTTTTAATGAGATAAGAAAAATTTAATTGGCTCTCGAAAAAAAGCGGAAGAAAAATTTGAAGATCGAACAGTGGTATATTTACTTTTAAATAAAATCGAAGTTTTCAAAATAATTGCAAGTGGCCAGTGTCTTATACATAAAAACCTTATTTCGCAAAACTTTTTGAGTGGCCTGTACCCCTAGCAGGAACCATTATCGAATTCGAATAGTTTGCAAACCGAAATGTCAATGTCAAATTTTGTATGGAAACTTGAACAGCAGCGCCACAAAGTACGTAACTAGAACTAAAAATCGGTACATATTTGACAATGACATTTCGTACTCGCATTCGATACGAATTAGATATTGGTTCGTGCTAAGGGTACTGGTAAGTCGCGGCTAACTAGCGCTGACCGTTATTGCGCTGAAGTAAACATTAAGATGTGTTGGGGGGAAACGAGGTGCGCGGGTGAGCGAGCGTTGCGCCGATTGGCTCTCCAGTCGTACCCATGCGTAGCTATCTCCTCTGCGTTTTGTTCAGCGCTAGAGTTACGTGCCGCGACCCTCATTTGTTTCCTGTGGTCCACCTCGTAGTCCACCCAGGTGGCCCACGGGGATTATTTTTTTCCCGTGGTCTACCCGCATAGCCATATGTTTCTAACAGTAAATTATGGATGTTCTCATGAACAAAAAAGCATTTACAATTTTTAAAAGTCGCGTATATTTTAAAATCATTTAATAAGCGTAGTTTTTCTAAAGCGATGCCTATAGAAATATTGTTGTTAATTAACTGCATCTGAATATCTTTTATATAATCATTGTTCTCAATTAATTTGCGCCTTTTTGATTTTGCAATTCTTATTGTTCTCAAGACACTCAAGAGCCGTAATAAATTGAGGAAGAGTCAGGTGGACCACGGATAAAAATTATTTCCCGTGGTTCAACCAGGTGAACTACGGGGGGAAAAAAATACCCGTGGCCCACCTGGTGAACCACGGGAAATAAATAATCCCCATGGTCCACCTGGGTGGACCACGGAAACATAGGGCGACCCTGATGACGCTTCCGAGCGCGTTGATGTCTTTCCTATGTCTATCGCCGATTCCGTATCTAAAGTGACTCGTATAATCATTATGATCCAATTATGACGAACAGTAATTATACTCTATACTTCAGTGCATAGATGCGCTTAGACAAAACTTTGCATTAAACGCAACCTATAGAGGTTAACAGGGCAATGCGATACCTAGTCAAATAAATAAATATCGCTCTAATGATATAAGAAAATTAATAAGAAAACACGACCTGTGCTAGGGGAAATCAGTTAACAAACAAAGATTGGTTTAAACTTCAACCCAATAGGCAGTAAAATAAAAAAGGAGACCCTGGATGCATAAAGAAAACTTTGAAAAATAAAATATTTAGAATACTGAGAAAGTAGATACTTAACTGTTTAATATTATTGTTATTATTATTTACTGTATATTATTATAGTTTGCCAATAAGGGGTCTGGTACGTAAGTGGTTCTCTGAACTTACGACCATATTTGGCAGTGTTCTCCCCTTTTAAATAAATTAAAGAGCATGATAGACTGTTGTGGTTGTTCTGTGATTGGGCAAATATTTGTGTTGTGTAGTAATTTCCGTATGTAGCAAATGAAAAAAAAAACTGTTTACTGTTTAGCGCATGATGAGGCCATCTTTAATTACAGTTATATTATATCCTAATACATAAGCATATGTGTAAGTTTGTATGTATTTATATAGCTGTGTTGATGGTCCATAAATAAATAAATAAAGGTGTCTATACCCTTATGCATCCAGCATAAGGGTGGCTTTACTGGCTAGTGAGGTGACTTGATATCAGTGTTGCCAGGTCCGATTTTCAAAAATCGGGAGGAGTTATAGAAAAAAACAGTAGATGTATGCAAAGAGCTACAAGAAAAACAGTAGATGCATGACGTGGCGTACTTGTCCGATTTGCACCCCCCCCCCCCTGCAACTCAACATGAAATTTAAAAAAGAAAATCGAAATCTAAAAACAACAGGAGATTCATGTAGAAAAACAGTAGAACAGGAGAAGTTTCAGAAAAACTATAGATCTCCTGTAAAATCTGGAGACCTGGCAACACTGCTTGATATCCATATTCATCATCATCATCATCATCTCTTTAATATACCGTACTTCTGGACCTTCCCTATGGCATAGGAAGATTGTATGACCACCGCGCGGGCCCAGTGCCGATTGGCGGGTGCTAACGACTGCAAATGCTGCCGGGACAAACGGCTTAACGTGCCTTTCGCAGCACGGAGGAGCTCGAGATAATGTTTTTGGTCACCAATACAATGACCGACCATTGCGTAAGTTGATTAACTTCCATCGCAGGCCGAAAGCTCTAACCACCTGCGCCATCGAGTTTCTCATATATATTCATATTCATTTATTGCATTCTTGCTGTTTACATGCTGTTACAAAAAAAAAAATCCAATCAAGAATCCAGTTAGGGTATTGCAATAATTCTTACAAACAGAATAGGTTTTTTTTTTTTTTTTTTTTTTTATTTATTTATTTGGACAACCAACAAGATCATACACCTTAAAAGCTAAAAGTTACACATTTGTTATAAAAGAGTTGGTGCGACCTCAATTACAGGTTGCCACGGCAAGCGTATACAATGGGAGTCGGGAGCGTAGGGCATCCCTTAGCTTAAATATTATAATTTAAATAAAGGTTTATTACAAGAAAAAGTTAATACTAAGAATCTATTTGAACATTATACGTAATTTTTTTTTTTAATGCAGGTAAACTTAGATGGAATATGTCAATTTCACGATTTTTACTGATATTATTATAATCAGTAAGGAGCCTGTTAATAGGGGAAAATGAGCCTAGGTTCGTCTTGGAGCGCTTTGGTTTAAATAATGAGTATCTAGAGAGGCGCGGAAGATTATGAGAAATTGTAAAATTAACTTTTTGAAGCAATTGAGGACAATTTAAGTTGCCGTTGACTAAATTGTGAAGGAACGAAAGATTTAAAATTTTGCGGCGATTTTTAAGAGATATAAGATTAAAATGTCTTAACCGGTCCGAATAGCTTTTAAGGCTTTTACACAAATTAAATTTGTATGATAAGTGGTACAAGAACCTCTTCTGGACGCGTTCGATTTTATTGGAGTGGACCTCATAATACGGGTGCCAAACGACGCAACAGTACTCTAAAAGCGATCTGACTAGACTCTCGTATAACCTTATTACACTCGATTTGTTTTTAAAGAATTTGGTATTTCTGATAACAAATCCAACGCATTTTAATGACTTATTAACTATGTGGTCGTAGTGTTCCTTAAAATTTAATTGCTTATCAAGAATGACACCGAGGTCTCGGACGGATTCAACCTCCCGAATACATTTTCCTGATACAGTATATACTCCCGGTAACTCACTATGTTTACGAGTAAAATGAATATGACAGCATTTATCACCGTTTAAAACCATATTGTTGCTCCTACACCAACATTCCAACCTATCAATATCTTCTTGAAGCAGCAATTTATCGTTGGTGTCCCTGATTGGTCTCATCAACTTTAAATCGTCCGCGTAAAGATATGGTTTGCTATTTCGGAAGCAGGATGTGACATCGTTCATAAATATGTTAAAAAATACAGGACCCAGGTGGGAACCTTGGGGCACACCTGACAAATTGGGAAAGGGGTTAGATACATAACCACTTACTACGACTTTCGACGTACGACCATGTAAGTATGACGAGCACCAATCGAGAAAAGTGCCGGCAAACCCAAACTGGGATAGTTTTTGAAGTAGACTACAATGTGGAACTTTATCAAAGGCTTTGGATAAATCCGTATATATAACATCCACTGCTATGCGCTCATCTACCAGGCGCGATATCTCATCGACAAAATCTACTAGATTAGTGCTGGTGGAGCGAGCAGCAACAAATCCATGTTGGGAGTCCGCCAGTACACTCTTAATGTGCCACGATATGTGAGGACATACCAAGGATTCTAGTAATTTACCAAACACCGATAAAATGGTAATGGGTCTGTAATTAATGGCATTATTTATGTCCCCAGATTTGTGAATTGGTACAATAAGGCCCTTCTTCCAGGCTGATGGAAACGTACCCGACGCGAGCGATGCATTGAATATATATGTGAGAGGTGGAGATAGTTGCTTAGCACAGTTGACAACAAAAATTGAAGGTATTCCATCTGCTCCAGCTCCCTTGCATCTGTCGAGAGATTCAAGACGTTTCAAAACTTGGTCTTCTGAAAAAGATAAAGAGCTCAGAGAGTGGGTGGTTTTACAACTGTTGTTAATGTTATAGTCGACTTGGGTTTTAGGGTCATCTGTGCTATATGAGGTTGAAAAGAATGCTGCGAGAGTATTACATACTTCAGGACCAGTTGAAGCCGTGATGTTGTCATATTTAATTGAAGCTGGAAACGAGACACTGTTGGTATTCTTCTGCTTTATGTAAGAAAAAAATAATTTTGGGTCGGATTTGATGGATTCTTCGATTAAATCTATATATTTATTATAGCACTTAACAATTAAGGCATCACATCTTTTTTTCAATGATTTAAAAGATAGGTTATCGAGAGGATTTTTATATTTTTTAAAACGAACGCGAAACTTGTTTTTTTCTTTAAGTAGGAATTTCAGTTCTTTGGTATACCAAACGGGAATATTGTTGGGAGAAATGGGCGAAATAGGTACAAACCTCTTGACGGCAGAGTTAAGTACCTGATAGAAACTGTCAACCATTAGATCTACCGATGCACAGGCTCCAAGCTGTTGAGACCAATCAGTGTCATCCAGAAGTTTGCGAATGCTGTCATAGTCTGCCTTGTAGAAGTTGTTTTTAGACGATTTGAGGTTGGCTTGTAACTTATGAGATGATTGGTTAAAAACAGCATTAAATTCCAACGCGGGATGATGGGAATCAATATTAACTAGGGGATCCGGTGAGGATACCAGTTCGATAATTGGTATGTTTGTAAGAATTAAGTCCAGAACTTTGTTATTTAAATTAGTTATGTAATTGAGTTGATAAAGATTGTTTAATGACATAAACTCCAATAGATTGTCCGAAGTGGAACTACTGGTATTTATTTTAGATGTTAATGGCAATCCCGGTGTACCGAGCCAGTCTACATTACTCTGATTGAAGTCTCCACAAATCATAGTCTGGTTGTATTTACTAACGACTAAATTGGCATTATTACAGAAGTGTTCAAAATGTTCCTTTGAGACAGGTGGTGAAAAATAAACCGTACATAGTAATAATTTATCAATTTTTTTATCCACTTTGATTTCAATTTCGATCCACAAATCCTCACAACCGCTTTCGTACTTTTTCATAATGCGTGATTTAATTCGTTTTGAAACCGCTACCAAGACACCACCTCCGCGCCTTTTACGTTGTAAGGGACTCGTTTCGCGATCGCGTCTAAAGACGTTGTAATTACATGTAAAAATCTCAGAGTCCATAATACTATTATCAAGCCACGTCTCGTTAAGAATAATAACGTCATAATCACATCTAGCTGAATTAAAATACAAGTCGTTCGTTTTGGTGCGCAATCCTCGAACATTTTGGAAATAAAAATTTAAATAAGAAGCGAATTTTAACTAATTATTAATTAAAGATTCATTAACATTACACAAAAAAAAAGATAACAATTACAATCTACAACATTACAGTTTATTTAATTTCTCGAGCACTTCTTCATTACGCACAAAAATGGCTTCGGATGTTTCGGTTTTCCGTAGGTAAACTCTGCCGCCGCGGATCCAAACAAACTTATAATTTTTTTCTTTAGCTACTTTGCGCGCCGCAGCGTGAAGATGTTTATTTTCGGGCGATAGATTCTCCGTTACGTAGATAGGGGTAACTTTAGTAGATAAAATTCCAATGTGCCCGGTATTGAGCTTGTTTTCATGATTTTTCTTGTTGAATTCGATGGCGGCAGCAAGAAAACAGTCTCGGGTTCGAGGTGAGTTCAGTTTTACCAAAATCGAGCGAGGTCTGGGGCTGTCAGATTTCAATTTTGCTGTTCGAGAACAATAACTAATATCTTTCTCGTTTAGGTTAAAATTAATAGATTTACCCAGTTCTTGCACCATAATTATCAAATTTTCGGCCTTCCGTTCAGGGACGCATTGTATCTCAAGGTTAGATGAGCGGGAAAGCTGATCAAAGGTGTTCAAACGTAGCTTCAAAGAATAAATATCCGATCTCAGGGTTTCGTTTTCTTTATTTATTAGTGCAATTTTGGCGTTTGCGGCGGAAAGTTCTTTTTTCATGCTGTCGAAGCCTTCACTAATGAATTCTAAAGAATTTTTAAATTCGTTTATTTCGCTCATAATTTCAGAGAACTGTGATTTTATTGTGTTTTTGAAATCCGTCATATAATCAGCCATAAAATCCTTCATAACCCCGCGCAACTCATCGCGTATTATTTCACGTATATTATGAATACCCGCATCCGAGGCAGATGACAAATGTATACTCGGGTCACTGTCCGTCCGACTGTGTAACTTGCGGCGAGTGTTAATAAAGGTCATGTCTGCCATCCCTGTTGGCGTAGTAGGCCGAACAGGTTTGCGCGAGTTATCGCTTTTAGGCTGCTTATTAAGACATATCGGACATAGCCAATTGCTTTCATAATCTCTAGGGGCCTTCTCCAATTCGCCTTTTTTAATGTTAATGCATAACAGGTGAAATTTTTTTGAGCAGCGATTGCATTTTATAAAATTGTTATCGTCGATCGCATCAGGGCAAGCGGCGCAATTACTCATCTTATTGCGCGCCCGCGCACACACGATAAACGCCTGCCTGAGTAATTAGAGGGAGCGCGCAATTATTGATGTTGTCTCTTACCGCAGCGGTGAGGTATGCTGTCCCCGCGCTCGCTGCTATCGTCCGTGACCTTCGTAGCTATTACTTTTAAGCAATTTTTTGATGGAACCACTTGCAACCAAAACTCGCCAATAGATTAATTGATTGTCAAAGTTCTTACGGGCAACTTTCGTATACACTATCGACAAAATTTGTATTATTTTCTTGAGTTAACACTGTACACGTCCACTCCCAGCTGACACCGCGCGAAATGATCGAACGAGGTTTAATGAATATTTAGACAAATTCTCTAATAAATCTTTTAGTTTAATCCATTATCATCATGATCATGAGCCTATTAATGTCCCCACTGCTGGGGCACAGGCCTTCCCTATGGATGGAATAGAGAGATTGGGCCATGACCCACCACGCGGGCCCAGTGCGGATTGGTGGGTGCTAGCGACTGCAGATGCAGCCGGGACCAACGGCTTAACGTGCCTTCCGAAGCACGGAGGAGCTCGAGATAGTAATTTTTGGTCACCCATCCAATGACCGACTACTGCGAAAGTTGTTTAAGTTCAACGATCGCAGCCGAACGCGCTAACCACTTGCGCCATCGAGTTCCTAAGTTTAAATCCATGACGTCAATAGCACAAAACTCTACAACAAATTCAAATGTAAAAGATTGGATGTCAAAAAGTTCCCTGGTTTTAATGTTTTTCTTTGTAAAGATAGCGACGATAACATGCTCATGCTTTTGTCGTATATACTTAGCCCGTAATTTAGTTTAATAGTAAAATAATAAAGTAAATACCCCTCCAGTGTATAAAGCTCAAAATTACAAGGTAAGTAACATCCAGTGTTCGCCTATTACAATAATGTCAATTTTATTGTCTGACAAAAAACAATTCAATTCTTTGATTTTATTTGTTAAATATTGCATGTTCTGGCACATTATCCTAAAAGTAATTAGACACGAAAGGAAGATTTTTCTAAATCACTTTTGTGTAGACGTATCTCATGTGCAATCAGAATATTCTTATCTCTCCAAAAAGTTACATACCAGATCTTTTTCAATTGCTAACATAAATTTCTTTACTTCATAAAGTATGGCTTTATAGCCATAGTTATAGATAGACAGAACGCCACAACATACCAAGATTGGTCAGGGAAGCGATTGAAATAACAAAACATAAAAATTTCAATCGTGAGGACGGGTTTAAATTGTCGAGTGTCTGGAATCCTGTGGTTCGTATGTGTAAAACCGGAAATAATCAAAAAAGTGTCGTGTCGCGATCCGATACTGTAAATGTGTGTGTCGAGAACAGTTTCGAGTGAATAGTGAGAATGTGAACAGTGGTACGGGTATCGAACGCAATAAAAGACTTCGTCGGAGGGTAGACCGATATGTCTGCCAATAAAAGCCTACCCGCAATCACTTCAGTTACTCCGTGATCATGGCGCTTGCAACAGTGCCGAAATATCGGAAACTCGCTAAAAACAAGGTACATGGTAACAATCCCGTAAATAACTTATATTACTATAGTTATAGATTTTTCCAAAAAATTGGAAACATTTCATAGGAATATACAAGGTTCTTATTCGAGTCTAAAATACAACAGTATTGAAATTTTAACATTAACATGCTATAGAAATTAAATAAATGTTTGCTTAATAACAATATTTAGAGGTCGATTCACATAAAATTACATTCGTGAGATATACGGATAAAAGAACTTCTCTTAAATATTTTACGATATTTTTATAATTTTTTGATACAATAAAATCTGCCTCACCCAAATAATTAACACAAATGCCCTTCAATGTGAAATCTTTTAATTTTTTTTCACTCTCAACAAGGCCCATAGCCGCTATACATATTACATTCTTTTAATTTAACATCAGTCATAAGGTGATAATATTATTATATTTTAAGGCAACCGTAGTGTCTCAATGGTGCTTTTTGAAATAGTTGTTGTTACATAACCATCAAACAACAAATAATTTCTCTGTATTTTTTTGTTCTAGTAACAATGACTGTGTGAAACAGATACTATTAGATCCCATTGACCTGTCTCACTTAGCAGAAGAGTTTTAAATGACTTCCTGTTTAAATTGCGGTTACTGAAATTAATAAGTATATAGTAAATTAAGTCGTTATTATTATTTTTAAGCCAAACACTAATTACTTGAGAAAATTAACAGGGCAGTTGGAGGTAAGATCATCTGTAATCTGTTTAAATTTATATATTTAGTTTTTTAAACGAGGCGCAACAGATTATTAATAATAATTAGGTGGGTTGACCTGGGGGCCATTCGCCTAACGGAAATGCTTTGGAAAACGCTAACGCTTTCGATTTTATTTTGTTATTTCTGACCGCCGAATGTTTTCAAATACCTCACGCTCATTTTTTTAATATTGTTATTACCAATGCAAAGGAAAAAAAAGAGCGCGAGGCATTTGAAAACCTCAGGCGGCTAGAAATAACAAAATGAAATCGTAAGCGTTAGCGTTTTCCATAGCATTTACGTTAGGCGAATGGCCCCCTGATGGGAAGTGTAAGTGGAGTCCAGTCGCGATGATATATGATGCGGCAGATGGTGTGCCGCTCCAGCCATCCTTACCATGCCGGCCCGAACGCAATCCCCTACTCCGCGGAACCCTGGAACCCTTCTCACCAGGAGAAACACAACACCAATGGTAGTGTTATTTTTACTGTACCCTTCTATCGTGTGAAGGTTGCTCCAATTCGAGCGGGAAATCTGCTAAGCGCTAACTCTCTTATGACGCTCTGACAATTTGAATCACAAACTAGTGATGTTAATGACAAACGAAAACACGTTTTCGGTTAACTTTAGAATCATCATGGAACCAATACAGTGAATAGTTGAATAATAAGTTTTTTTATATCACAACCATCCTCCCGGTGTATTATTTATGGCGAAGTGGAGGAAACGACGACCTCATTTATACTTACACGTGTCGGAAGCCTTGACTAACTCGCTCTGAAGCTCCAAAGTTTGAATATGTCCGCTGTAGGTGTATATATTTTTTGACGTGACAACGTCTTAAATTAGGTTGCGGCTGGGAGTCACTTATGAAAAAGTGTAACGCTCGGTAACGTTACGATGAGTCTCTCGTGTTAAGTTTAAGTTTACATGTACAATGTTTTAGTAAACAAAATATATTTCTATAGTTAAAATTTGTGCTATTCTTATTTTCATTCAATTCCTTGTTCCTATTGTGCAATTTAATTATATTCATATCAATAAATATTCTACCGAGAAAAAGACGTTGTCACGTAAAATCTTCGCCCGTAAAACCGACTTTACAGGCAACCATTTTTTTAATGTAAGTTATTTTATTAAATCGTTAACTAAAGCAGCAACAGTTTTGTATGACGTAATTAGATTCAGCGTGCATTTTTTGTATGGCTGCAAGTTATTCGTTAAAACAGGTTGGGGTGTAAACAGAAATCTGATCAAAAAAATTATTGCAAAAAAAAATTATCGCCGAAAAGCAAATGATAACAAACCTAGAAAGAACCCACCTAGCTCCATGACAACCCAAGTCAATCATCATCATCATCATCAGCCTATTAATGTCCCCACTGCTGGGCCACAGACCTTCCCTATGGATGGAATAGGGTTCCACAACAAAATTGTCGTTGAATTAAGTTTTTGTTCTCAGGTTTCTATTAAACACAATGACTTTCTTTAAATACCTAATTACTAAAGACACGCGCCGCCGCCGGGGAGAGCCATGACCCACCATGCGCGCCCTGTGCGGATTGGTAGGTGTTAACGACTGCATATGCAGCCGGGACCAACGGCTTAACGTTCCTTCCGAAGCACGTAGGAGCTTGAGATAGTAAATTTTTGGTCACCCATCCAATGACCGACCACTGCGAAAGTTGATTAACTTCAACGTTTGCAGCCGAACGCGCTAACCACTTGCGCCATCAAGCTCCTCGACAACCCAAGTAGCAAATGGTAACTCAGATCTATCTGACTATCCAAATATTGATTTGACTAAAAATAAAAAAGGGTTTATTATTTTTTGCATTCCGACGGTTTATTCTTTTTTATTAAAAAGTATTTATTTTATATGTTTTTGTGACTATAATTTTTGTAATGTACAACACGAAATCAAAATCTGTGACTGAACAATCACCCCTATTTTCCAACCCTTAGGGTAGGACTTTTGTTTCTAAATTTATCTGGGACCAACTACGAGGATACTATCTAATTTAAAAAAAAAATACATCAAAATCGTTCTACTCTTTTAAAAGTTATGCGTGGTCTAATATTACAAGCAGTGAGTGAACAATCAATGTTTCCCTGTTTTTCTAACCTTAAGGTCGTTTTTTCCAAGTTTTACGGAGTGAAATGAAATGAAATGAAAAGTCATTTATTCAGTCTAGGCTGTTACAAGCTTTTGTGAAGGTCAGAAGCTACGCCATCGGTTCACAAAACTACGGCGGGAGACCTTGTACTGAGAAGAACCGGCAAGAAACTCAGCAAGGGCTGCTTTTTTCTCCCTGTATTGATGTATACAGAGTCGTCAAGTTAAAAAATGACTTAAGAGATACTTCTGAAGTCACCTTCCATTACATCATTTAGGATATAGATATATAGAGTTACAATAATAATTTTATATTTAGTATATAGGAAGCGGCATTAGATAGGTACAATATTACTGTTACAAAAACTGACTAATACCCATCAAATAACAAATTACAAGAAACACTATGTCCATGCATTACGATCTTTTAGATAATCATCAACTTTATAATAGCCCTTATTCATAAAAGAATTCTTGATCTGAGATTTAATTTTGCTTAGTGGAAGCTCAATCAGATCTTGGGGAACTTTGTTAAACAATGCAATACTGCAACCCAGAATTGAACCTCTTGATTTTTGGAGTCTGAAACATGGAACGGCAGGCAGGAAAGTGTAT